ATCACGACTTTTCAATTACCTCGAAACCTGATTTTTTTCACCATTACTATTAGCTAACTGTTCTTTACCACTTGTTATACCAGTCTTTTAAAATTAGTTTGACCTCTATGCCTGATGTGATTTCTTCTTTTCCACAAACTCCACATGATTAATGTTGATATGAACATAAAAAATATATAACGAAAATTTGTATTTAAAAATACGTTTTTATATATTTTTAAAAATATATATATTTGAAAAGACTAATACAATTTTTGAGGTTCAATTTATGTTATTTTTGCATATGATATAATTTCTTTACATTGTGATTTTGGATTTTGTATTAAAATTTATAATGATTATGATTAAATATTTTTTGGTAAATATTCGACACATGGACTAAAATTTAGAAAAAAGACTATAATTGCTTAAGTGATACTTTAAAAGGACTATTTTGAATCTAAACCAAAACATATGGGACTACTTTTGTTATTTTTTAAACACCAAACGGGATTGTCGTTTTCTTGTTTCTAATACACCCTTTTCCATTTTTTGTTGCAGAGAACAAAAGGTTTTACAAAAAGTTACACACTCAGAGCTACTACAAACTTGCTGATTATCACTTGTGACGGCTGATAAAGGAGATAAAATCAAGGTATGTTCACTTTTTAGCTAATAAATTGTTTAATTTTGCAGTATATGGTTGTTTCTGTATCCCCTTTGAGTATATGAAGGTTTCGTTTCTTGAATAATATGGAAAAACTCTCTCAATTTGACATGTTCTTGATGTTTTATGACACCCATTTGCACATATTTTTTCATGCTGTTGAAAAAATTTAATTTTTTTTGCATCTGATATGCTATGTGTGTTTAACACTTGGAAGGTGTTTGATGAACCCTTGTTCAGCCATTGTTAAGGTTTGAAGCTTTAGCAGTTGTTCTTATTTATCGATTAATCTAGTACACTATGCTGAGTCTCTGAGAGCAGATGTGAATCCAGAATTTTAAGTGAGTGGTACAGAATACAACCAGTGTCATTACTCCTTTTGTGGTAGGGAATGTGAACTTAAGACTAGTAACAGAGACAGAATTGAAAATAATGGGTTTCAAAATTTAGCCCTTTTGAGTTATTGTGTTCTAATTTGATAATTTGGACATACAGAATGAATTTCTTTAGATAAATACACAGTTTAAACAAGATAGGAAGGTAAAAGAGGTCGAGGCTTAGGGTAGAAGGTTAGTAGGTTGAGCGTTGTCTAGTTCCATTTTAGTATTGTTATTGTTACTCTCTTGCTATCTTATTCGTCGATTTAGTAGTACCTGAAAAAAGGAATAGTCACATTCTTATAAGAAGCCCAAAGAGTTCATTAAGAATGAATGCAACTTAGTCTATTGTTTGCTCAATGCTGGCTTAGAGATATATGGCAAGGAAAGGTTGAAGTAAGTCTCATTCATCGGGAAAACTTGGCGCAATTTTTTGTTTGACTGGGGTGGAAAAGACATTGTAAGTGAGATACTTAGAAAGACTGCTGTGAAGATTGCAGCAACAAATCTTTTGTAAGCTGAAGTTTTGCATCAATTTCAGAGGATGAGAAGGACATCCTCATGTTTATGATGATGTGTTAGAAAGTAAAAGTCATTTTTTGGATTGGTTTGTTGCAAATTTTAAGATTTTAGTTCCATAAGTTGCAAGTTGCTTTTAGTGGAACCCTCTTTATAACAGATCCTGCTTGCGTATAAGGGTGGACAGGGTAGTTAGTGTTTTACAAGAACAAAGTGTTGAAGGGCATGCAAGTAGCTAGCTAGTAGGACTGGTGCAATAGGAACATTATGTTCTGTGCGGAGCTTACTTTATCATCAGAGTAGAAAATTGGTAGTCATTTGCAAGAATTACTCAAATTCATCTGGCCAATATGATTGCTATTTTGTATGATAATGATGGAACAATAGGTAGCATAGCAGACTAGTTGCTTCAACAATACCAATGGTTATTACTCGTTGTTGCACCCAATTTCCTTATCTTCGTGATATCTAAGTTGGTTGAGTCTAGTATAATGGCTAGAGAGACTTTCACGGTGGCCATCCATTCTGCTACCGGCTTCCACGGTAGAGACTCGTGTCACCACCGGTGAAACAAAAAGAAGGCAAATGTACATTTTCCCTTCTGTTTGCTTTCTTTTCATACGAAAGGTGTGAAACCACTGATTAAGGGGGTGTCCATTATGAAGGAAAATGTTTTCTATGACTATTTTCTATACTAGTTAGTCAAAAGTGACCCAAGTGATACATTTTGATGAGGGTTGAAAGGTTCTTACTGGAACAAGCTTGAGTTAAAATTATAACTGAGGTCAAGTTTGAGTGTTTTGCTTATGTGTTTGGCCTTATTTCTAAGAAAATGAAGTCATCATCAACAACATACCAGTATAATTCGGGTGTATGCCAACCTTACCCTTACTTATATGGGATAGTGAGGTTGTATTCAATAGAAATTTCAGAATTTGTTTGAAAAGAATACAAGAGTTAAAAAAAAAACTATGATGAAAATATTGAAAATAGAAAAGTACTCATAGTAAAAATAACGAGTACAGAGCCTAAAAACATGTGTCTCATGTTTTGCCAACGACAAACAAAGGGGCAGACGGTCCACACCAAACATGTTTGGTCTACGGGCCCCACCCTTTTGAATTATTTTTTTCTAAACCAAGTCGTTCGCTACCCGATGACTTACTATTTAATTTTTATCTTGCGAGTCATTGGGAATGGCAACAACTTGGCTCATTTACTTATGTATACATTTTAAAATCTTGTGTATCGTTTGCAAGGTCAAAGATTTGGTCAAATTTTAAATCTTCAATCAAATTTCAATTAGAATAATTTTATATACTTCTTATATCTTAAATACCCAAATTTGCTATTAATCAAGTATTGTCTTAATATGTTCACACCACAACATCTAAATTGAGCCATAATTGGCTAGAGATCATAATTAATTTATCATATCTATTACATGACTTTTGGTTTGTTATGAATTTCAAATGTTTAGATGAGATCTGCTTATATATTCAAACATGACATTTATTAGTGACTAAGCCTTTTCTTAAATTAGCCTACTTATTAGCAATATTAAAACTATAACTCTATAAGTAATCTAATTGAAATCGTTGTAATCTTAACTAGACACATAGTGTGCATTATAAAATTTGTGAAGATGTAACTCATTTCGCTTTTCTCTATTCCATAGTGTTTTTTATGAATAGTATGCGGTGTTTTCATTTACATTTTCCTCCTTCCTTTTTTTTTTTATGAACTTTAGAAATGAAATGTGTAAAAATAGTTCTTACCTCAAAATCATCAATTTTAATCAAATAATTGTGACTTTTTATCATACCAACAAAAATCATTCGAAAATGAGTTTATCTGCGGGTGCTAACAATATTGTTCAAGGTAAATTAATCAACATTAGCCTTTAAATTAATCTAGTCTTCATTTTTCTATTGTATAAAAATCCTTATGTTGTTGATTAATTTGCCTACATTAATTCCACATCTCATAAAGATTTTATACAATAAAATATGATTACCCTGAACATTGTTGATGGCATTCATAGATAAATTCATTTTGAAATGTTTTTCATTGGCATGATTAAAAAAAACACAAATATTTAATTAAACTTGACGATTTTGAGAGCAAAAAACTATATACACACATATTTTCATTTCTAAAGTTCATAAAAAAGGAGGAAAAATGTAAATGAAAACGTTTTATACCTTTCACAAAAAATCCTACGAAGTGGAGAATAGTGAAATGAGTTCCATCTTCATAGGTTCTATAGTGGACATTGTATGTCTTGCTAAGTTTACATCGATCTCAATTAGATTTACTTACAAAGTTGTAATTATTGCTAATGAAAAGGGAAATTCAAGAAAAGACTTGGTCGTTAATAAATGTCTTGTTGAATATATAAGACGATCTCATCTAAACATTTGAAATTCATAAAAAAACAAAAATCATGTGTAATAAATATGATAAATTAATTATGATCTAGTTAGTTATGGCTAAATTTATATTTTGCGGTGTGAACATATTATGATAAAACTTTATTATAGAGAATATGGATATCTATGATATAGATAGAATTATTTTAATTGAAATTTGACCGAAAATTTATAATTTGATCAAATCATTAACCTTGCTAACGTCACAACATTTTTAAAAATATATATAAGTAAATGGGACCAAGTCGTTGCCTTGTCCAACGACTCGCAAGATAAACATTAAATCACAAGTCGTCGGGTAGCCCAACGACTTGGTTTATTTTAATTTTTTTTAAAAAGGGAGCCCACAGATAAAAAAAATTCTAAAGCAAGAATAATTATTCATTTTCGCAGCCTCTGAGTATCTTGAAGAGAAAATGATCCATTATCCTTGGTGATAGATTTAAATGATCCCTTAAAAATCATTGCTATAGTTTTGGCCATTTCAGTGTAGCAAGAGTAAGCATTTTCGGTCTCTCTGAAATACATATTTATCAACTTGAATTATTGAAATTCTGAAAATAGAAAATATCTAATATAAATTCACAATTGGTGGTACATTTTTTTAGTTTATGTTATTTTCTTCAACATGTTTCAAGAGTTTGGTGCAACTTTGAGGTGCAATTCTGTTGTTTTTTCTTTTTTCTTCATATGATGTAATTTTTTCTTTGATGGGTAAATAATATATTGTATAAAATATTTGCACTAAGCTACATCCGAAATAAGAAGTTGTGCAAATATCATCTGCATCAAGATCAAAAATTAGTTTACACCAAAAAGCAATCAACAAAAGACACCTATATTATATTGATGTAGTTTTTTATGTTGCGGTTTTAAAATTTTTGATGGAAAAATTTACCATTTCTGGTTAAAGTTAAATAGTCACAATTTTGATTAAAATTTAACAATTAGAGATTCATAAATCTTCGAAGGAGACCAAAAATTATTTTTGTAACAAACTTAATAAAAGACTAAAACTGCTCAAATGATACTTAAAGAACTATTTTGAACCTATTAAAAGGGCTGTCCTTTTCTTGTTTCTAACAGGCCTGTTTTTCCATTTTTGTACACATAGAGCTACTATAAACTCACTGATTGTCACTTGTCACGGCTGATAAAGGAGAGAAAATCAAGGTATTTTCTCCCCTCCTTAGCTGATAAATTGTTTATTTTGCAGTACGTGGGTTGCTTCTCTATCCCCTTTGATTATATGAAGATTTTGTTTCCTGTATAATATGGAGAAATTCTCTCAATTTGACATGTTCTTGATGTTTTATGACACCCATTTGCACATATTTTGTCCTGCTGTTGAAATTTTTTAATCTTTTTTGCATCTGATATGCTATGTGTTTTAACACTTGGAAGGTGTTTGATGAGCACTTCTTCATTCATTGTAAAGAACCAAGCTCTAAACTTTTAAGTCAGTGGTATAGAACACAAAGCACCCATTCTACTCCCTTTGTGGCAGGGACTGCGAACTTAAGACTAGTATATGTTCTTGAAAATTATTCCGTTGTGTGTATTTATACAGAAATGGATACATAATTGGAAGTGTATGGGTTCAAAATTTTAGCCCAATTGAGTTATTGGGTTTTAATTTGATATTTTGTGCATATTAAATGAAATTCTTAGGATAAATACACGGTTTACACGAAGGCTATTGGGTTCAGAGTCGAAACTCTACCTCTGCCCCTGTATATAGATACTTCAAATTAAAGGCGCCCATTACCAAAACCTTGCATCAGTCTATGCTGGAAACCTGCCAGCAACTTTCTTAGTCTATCTAGAGCTGGCTCATTTCCAAAAAAAACACTATTTTACCACTTTGAACAAGATGCTTATCATCGATTTAATTGCTAACACGCCCATAGTGGGCGTGGATCTAACTCATGTTGCTTAAGCAAACTCATGACCAGCACACCCTACTGGGTGTTTTCTTGAACAAGATGCTTGCCATCAAATTAACAGAAGGATTCGGATAGAGAAAGAAAGAACAAATGGACTGATATGATTCACTGCGCCTTCAAGCAACTGGATGGTACAATTTGGTCAAGAATGGAATTAGTATGATTTGTTTCAGAGCATTCTTCTTGGTAGGCCAAATGTGTTCGAGTTTCTTACTATTTCAAAGATCAAGCGATTGCTCATTAGACAAATTTTAGTCTTCCAGAGGAATGCTATAGGTCCTATTTTTATTTTCATAAGTAGTGGTGGTGTTTGAGCCAACTTGGTGTGTACCTCGCCTCTAGCACAGGTATATGGTAACTTAACTTCAAATTAGACAAATGGAAAAAAATGACTTAGCTTTATTTGCTTTTGTTAGAAGCTCTGGTCTCCTGTGGTAATTTCCAGCTTCAACCTGTGGGTACATAATCATATAGGCTATCTAATGCCTGTGACTTCACAAGGGTATCAGAAGTTGAAGACTTATATGGTCATGGAGATGTTTATATTTTTTGTCTGTGTTGGACGTCCTGTCCCTTTTCCGGGAACTAGACGTGTCATGAAGATGGTGAATCTTCTAGGCCTCCTCCCTACCCCATAGTGAGAAAAAAAGGGAGAGGTTAATAAATACTCTCCCTCCGGTCAATTTTTGTGTCTTAATTTGACTCGGCACGAAGTTTAAAAAAATAAAGAAGACTTTTGAATCTTGTGGTCCTAAACAAAAGACGTGTATGATGTACCAAAAAGAGCTTTGAATCTTGTGGTCTTGAATATGAAATGTAGGATGTTGGATGTAAAGAATTACTAAATATAGAAAGTAACATTCTTTTTGAAATGGTCTAAAAAGGAAAGTAAGATAGGGTCTATCGGAAAGAACTTCTCTACCACACAAAGATAAGGCTAAGGTGTGCGTACAACCTACCTTCCGAAACTTTGATATAGTCCACATCACTTGCTAGACAAGAGATGAATGGTGGTCTAGACAGGCTTTCACAGCAGCCAACTTCCACTTTAGAAACTCATGTCACCACCAGGAACAAAAAGAAGGCAAATGTATGTTTTCCTTTTCTTCTGCCTTCTTTTTCATTAAAAGGTTGTGCAATCAATTGTGCAAATGATACGAATCAATGGTAAGGGGGAGCATAAGTGATGGTTATCTAAAAATGGGCATAAATGATATGTTCGTGTTATTCAGTTGAGCTAAAACCATGGGAGGAACCCACGTACACTTCCCCATCTTTCTTGAACACATCCTAATTTCAGGTTGAGCCAAAAGATATTGATCATGTTAGATATTTGGATGCATTTGTTGCATGAATCTTTATTTTGTTTTACATTTTGTTGTTCTTCTAATTCTTATTTTACGTGTGTGTGTCTAATCACAGATAGTCAAGGAAAAGGTCGAAGCCTTGAAGGCTGAATACTCTTCAGGTAGCAATAATGGTGGAATGGTGGTGGTCTGTACTAGGAGCTGCTGTGCCAGCTGTAATGGCAGGGCAAGCTTTCAGGACGAAAAAAAGGAGAGATGAGGAGGAGAGGTTAAACAGGGCCAGAGGTCGTGAAAAGAACTCCGATGATATCTTTGTTTGTGAAAGAGTGTGTACTTCAAACAGGATGCTCAAGAAGGTTGGTGCATTTTCTAAAGACCCGACACCCTATACTTGTGTTACTGTTTGTGGTGTTTCTGAACTCGATGCTTGTGCTGATGCGTGTGCTCGAACTGTTTGTGTTAATCAGCACCAAGTACCTAACTGGAATGATATCTGTCTTAAGAGGTGTCAAAGTGAGTGTCTTAGGCTCTCACAATCTTCTGTAGTGTCTTCTTAGCACATTGCTCTCAACATTTTGCTTCTATCATTTCAACAATTCTGGTCTATTGAGTATTGACAATCTTCTCAAGTTCATGAATACTATTTATGGTATCTATTTCGACTATTCATCGAGATTAAAAAGTTATATTTGTCCTTATCATCCAACTTTAGACTTAGACACATATGTACCCGTTAATTCACCTAGTTCCCCACCTTTATTATTTGGCGACTACGTGAATATTATTTTCTCCCAATTTAAATCTGATCATAATAAACCTTGACCCATCATTAAACCCGACCCACTTTGCAAAAATTAAGAACCTTTTGGTCCCAAGAATACTTGGAAAAAAATTGGGAAGTGGTGTTTGGTTATATATTTGCCAAGTTCCCAAATACTAGAAAAAACTAGTATTTGGGCCAAGTTCTAATATTTGGGAATTTTAAAAAATTCAAAAAATTACCCCAAACTTTTATATTTTATAAAAAAATATATATTATTTATTAAGTCCAACTAATATTTGTTACTACCTCCTCCAGTAAAGTTTGAGTTCTAATTTGAGTGATAAAATTGAGAAATTTGAATATGCGATTAATGTATTGCTCTTGCATATATTGTTATTTGTTTGTTGTTGATTGTTATCAATTATGTTATAAGTTTATTTTTTAACTAAACATATTCACTATAAATAGATAATACAAATTTATGGGTAGTTTTAATAGTTTTAAAACTTATGAGTATAAACAATATATTTTGAAAGAGTCAAATATTCTTGGGAAAACTTGGGGTCAAACACATGATGTAATTTCACCAAAAACTTGATCCAACTATTATTGTTTGCCAAGAATATTTGAGAACTTGAGGCCAAACGCTAGCTAAGTCATCCCAAAGATTCGTTTTGTTTCTTGGAATAATACTATTGATTGACCCCTTTTGGCATCTAGAGATGGCCTAACACTTCATTTGGATGGTTGCTACCTATTGATTGATGATTTATTGTATTATTTTGATACATAAACATTTGGAATTTTTATCGTTACGCAACAATGCAATTACACCAAACTGATGGATAGTATTATGAACAAGTGAAATATAGCACCTACCATACGAAATAATCGAGGTACACTCAAACTGATGGATAGTATTATGAACAAGTGAAATATAGCACCTACCATAAGAAATAATTGAGGTACACTCAAACTGATTCGAAATTTATTTTGTAATTTGACAATCATTCAAATCCAAGAATGTCACTTAGGCGATGTGCGACTCATACAAGGCCACAAAAGTTTGGAACTTTAGACATTCTAGCGCCGTTTTGATTCATTTTGGTCTATAGTTGGCTTAAACCTTTCTTTTATATTCCCCTTCGCTTATACTTGTTCACTATTTCAAAAATATATTTTTACTTTTATTTGTCATTTTTAACATATCAAGAAAAAACAAATATTTTGACCAAAACATTCTTCAAGACTATACTAAACATCAATTAATATGCACATTATGATAAAATCCTTATAACAATCATTGTTTCTTAATCAACCTGCAAAGTCCAAAGTGGATAAGTAAAACTGGACAGAGAAGCGTACAAAGTTTAATGTAGACACGTAAAAGTGATCGAAGGAAGTACGTAAATAATACCTAGTGGAACACAACCTATACCACTTTGAAAAACCTTAGTGGTCCTTAAAGATTTGCTTGTTCTCTAGACTTGGACCAATCTCATGAAGAAGTTGAAATCAATGAGGAGCCATTTAAGCAGTGGCGGAGCCAAAAAAATTCATAAGGGGGTTTAAAATCTGAGAAGTAAACACCCGAACTAGTGGAAGGGGGTTCAACATCTATTATACATATCTAAAAAATAATTTTAACCATGTATAAATAGTTTATTAAGAAAAACCTGCCCAAATCTTAGATCGTCAAGTTCAAAGGCTAGAAGAACAAAGGATGTAGCTTCGGTTTAAGTCCCACACTGTGCTGTTTGGGGCGAGTCGGGTGTACAGTGTACACAGACCTTACCCCTAGTCCCCTACCTTTGTGGGGTAAAGAAACAACATTAGATAAACCCTCGGCTCAAGAAAATCATATATCCAAACAGGTTTGAAAGAAATGCAAGAGAAAGCATTGCCTTTACTCACATGATAAATTGGCTGAGTCAATGACAAGATGATTAATAGACAATATACACACGAACCTCACGAAAACTTAAAGAAAATCATCAAAAGTTAACTCACGTAGCTGATCAACACTTGACCCTCAGAAATCCGAAAACAAGTACTATGCCTTGATCTCAAACTATCTCTAGAAAAACAACTTCAGGAAAATGTAGGACAGGACAGGATTTAGAAATTTGAATGCAACGATCATTCAACTACAAACAAGTCTATAACATACCGAATCTACAAACCCACGAAAGCCACCACCAACAAGAGAAATTTCCACAACGAAAAGAAGCGTAGTTGTGAAGTTCTGAGGTCTACATAAACACTTCTTTCATATGAATGAAGAAAACCAACAACTTCTGATCACTACTCACTTGCGGACATTAGGAGCATTCAGTTCAAAAAGAATTCTTGGCTCATATAAACTAGCCAATATGCTAAAGCACAAATATAGCCTTTAAACAGAAATGTTCAATCCAAACTGATGAAGCTAAATTATAGACGAACATATACATGAAATTTACGAAAACTTAAGAGAAAATCATTACGAGTTACCTCAGGTACCTGATCAAAACTTTACCACTAGACAAAATAACAACAACCATGCCTCAAAGACAAGCTTCAGAAAAATGTGAACAAGACAGATATGAGAATTTCAAAATTTGGCATAAAAGATCATTCAATTACAAAACGAGTCTACGACTACAAGTCTTGAAAATTGAATAAATATAGTACCTACAAACCCCAGAAATCTACCAACAACAAGAGAAATTTCTACAAACACAATGCATCTAACAACAAGAAGCTACGAGAAATTTCTACAATGAGAAGCAGCACAGTTCTGCAGTTATATACTTCTTCATATGATGAGTAAAGAAAAGCAACTACTTTTGCTCGCTACTCAACTTACTACAGCATTCGATCAATTCAATTCCAGTCGACTTGATCAAACTAAACATTAATCTCCATAGACTCGAGACAATCCATTATAGAAACCATAAAAATCAAACCTTTTTTTAGTTATACTTCCTAGGCCTACCTCTTTTCTTAGCCCCTGTTGACATTGGTCTCGGAGCAGCAGCAGGAGGAGGAGCCTGAGGCCGCGCTGGCGCCTGAGCTGGATTCGGAACCTGAACCGTAGCTGGAATTGGAGTAGCATTTTGTTGATTATTCGCAACATTCACATTCCCTTCAGACGAAAACATCGGTGGCATCCAAGTTGGAAATGCACCAGTAGTTGCAGCAGCAGCAGCAGCTCCTTTCGCAGTTCCCAAATCCTCCAAATTCCCATTCACAAAACCCATTGGGAAAAACCCCCAAATACAATAATAAGCTTCTCTCCCTGGCACCATTGGTGGCATTGACAAAATCTCAGTAGCAGTAAAAGCCCTTTTACATTTATCACACCTTAAACAACACCCTTCATAAACCCTAGGATACTCATACAAATTGTAACAATACGGACACGCCGTCCACAAATTCACAACCCTTTGCCCTCTCATCGCACCACTCATCGGCGTCGGCGCCGTAGCCTTCGGCGGCGCACTATGATAACTCCTCTGACTCACCGGACTGGGATTCGGGTTCTGATTTTGACCCGAACCCGAATTACTCGCCCGACTACTCCTCCTCACGGGTAACTTAGCATCTCCTTTCTTCTGCTTATTATAACTCCCTCTAGGTCTTCCTCGTCCACCAGCAGGAGTCAATTTAATTCTAGTAAAAAGGGAAAGTTCATTATCATAAAGACCCTTTTTTGATGGATCTGAAAGAACAGCCCAAGCATCAGCAACAAGGCCAAAAGCAGTATCTGAAGATGGGTATTTGTTTTTATCAGGATGAAGAAGAAGAGCAAGACGACGATACTGTTTCTTGATAAGCTCTGAATCTTCAGTACGGCCTTGGATTTGAAGAATAGAGTACCAATCATGGTGATTGTTGATTCGTTTTACAGAAGCTAAAAGAACTTCAGCAATTGCTAAGATCTGGTCAGGTCCTTCAAGTAAAGGCTCAGTTTCTTGAGCAAGAAGGGCAAAATCTTTACAAGGGGCAAATTCTTTTTCTCTTAATAGCTTTTCTGCAACTCCTAACAGTCTCTCTGCTTCTGCTCTGCTTGTAGTTGTATGATGTTCCATTTTTTGGTGGATTTTTGGGGCTTTGGGGTTTTGATCTGAAATGGAGACGGAGAAAATGATGGATGATTTGGGGAAGAGGAAGAGAAATTTGGGGGGGTGGGGGGGAGTGGGGTGTAACTGTAGAGTGTAAAGGACCAAATGATATTTGTTTATAATGTTTATCTACATTGTAATAAATAGAGGTTTGATTGTTGTACTTTGGTTGAGGGTATTTATGTCATTTTATATTATTTTTTTATCTTATCGAATAAAAATAGTTATCTCAAATTATTTTTAACATTTCATATTAATTAGTCACATAGCTAAAAATATACTTTTTCCTTTCCTTATTACTTGTTACATTTATTTTTTAGGGTTAACAAACATAATTTTGATCGACATTTTAAAAGGATGAGCAACTTTCATATATAGTAAACACAAAAATCATATTTGTGTGTTATAACTATAGTTTGTATAATTGCGCTTCATAGCAAACATAAATATGCATATTTCGCTATACATATACAAAAGAAAGTGGTTGTATATAGTTTGTTTATGTTTCGATATACATATACAAAAGATCAATTGTATAATATGTGTTTGTATAAAACAAGAAAGAGAGAAAGGCAAAAGAGAACAAGGCAGGAAAATATTTGTATTGTATAATTATAAGTGTATAAGACGAAGATATATATGTATTTGCATATGTATATACAATTTTCTCTCGCATTTACAAACAGAAGCGCAATTTATATAGTTCTGTTTGTATAAGCGAGAGAGGCGAGGGAGAGAC